CACTTGTTCCAGTCCCTGCTGGGGGTGTCATATGAGATGTAGTGAAGGGATCAGAGTATCTTTTCCTAGATCTGAAAAATTCTGAGTTTCAGAGTATATCGGGCATCAGAGGATTCTAAGGGAAATCACTGTTTAATATCTGCAGACCCCAGCCCCACCCACCTAGAATCCAAGGTGCCCTCTAGGCACCTCGATTCTTTGGGGCCAAGAATCCTAGGGACTTTGTTCAGCCCTCGGTTGTACGAGTTGTACAGTTGTACAGTCAGGATATTTTGAGTTTTTTCCTTGTTTTGTATTAAGTGTAATGCAGGATGTTGGTTAGGTATGTGTGGCACAAGCAAGGACGAGTCAAATTGGTCTTTTCCTTATCTTCACCATTATAGAGTAACTTATTCCAGTCTTTCCTTGGGCCCACCTGCTGCTCACCTGTAGAGCAGTCAAGGAGGAACTGTTGCTTTAAGTAACTTTGATGAGTACAGAAGGGGCACTCCCAATTTTCACAGGCTTAAAGAGTGACTTCTTGGCTTCTGTTAAGAGTGTTTTTTGTCTAAGGGACTCAGAGATTCTCAGAGATATTTTTCATGATTAGCTCAGAACTTATTTACTGAGATTTAAAAATTTTAATTAGAGATATTGGGAATGTTGCACCCATTCCCTGCCCCTTCCCCATCCATGACAAGGGGAAGAAGCAGCTGCACCCAACAGTTGGGGCCAGACCCCACCCCTCCTCTCACTCCCCATGCCTCTGTAAGGTGTGGATACCACCACCTTACAGTTCATGCTCAGTGGACTGTGAGCTCAAAACTGAAGGGTCCAGAGCCCCCTAGGGTCAGGCACTTAATGAGTTCATTACTGATCAGATATGTTGTGCTGGAACCCAGACTGGGCTGTGAACTTCCTGGGGGTAAAAGCAAGAGAATAATATGGCAAGTTACTGAGCAGGCGCCAGCCCAGGAAAGTACCCTGCCCCTTCCTCCTAGTGTGCACAGGGCTGTGGGGTGGGAGATTGGGAGAGAATGTGTCACTAGGCTGGTCCCAGATCAGCCAGGAGAGCTTGGCCCAGGAGTGGTGGGCGGGTGTTACTCAGGTGTGCCTCAGGCATTGTTTCCTCCACTACACTTTGTGAGAGGAGCATGGTGTCAGTTTATGAGATGTTCTCTTTGCAAATTAAGGACAAAATAAGAAACCAGAGGGAAAAGTTCAGTTGAGCTGGAGCATTCAATCTACAGCAGTCCCTTTATCCTCAGGGGACATGTTCCAAGACCCAGTGGACGCCTGGAACTGTAGGCAGCATTGAACTCTGGATGTGCTATGTTTTTCCTATACATACATCTTATGATAATACATGCTTTATAAATTCGGCAAATGAGACATTGACAACCACTAAGTAAAACAGAATGTTTATAGCAATATGCTGTGCTGAAAGCTAGGTGAATGTGGGCTCTCTCATGGTATCTGGCTGGCCTTTTCACTCAGAGCAAGCACATTATGGCTTCTCTTTGGCATATCCAAATCGCCAGCATCATTACTTTTGTGTGTCGGGGACGTTATAAGGTAAAATAAGGGTTACCCAAACAACCACTGTAATAAGAGAGTGGGTCTGATAACCTAGGGGCTATTAAGTAGGATATGCTGTATGGATACATGTCCTGATTCACAGGATGGAGATATTACCATTCTGCTCAGAATGGTGTGCAATTAGAACTAATAAGGTACTTATTTCTGGTATTTTCTGGGTAATATTCTGTGACTGCCATTGAAGATAAGGGGAGCTGCTGTGTTTTGAACATTAGAAAACCTGAACCATATAGATTGTTTTCTGCATGGAGGGGGGCCCTGTGATGACTGTGAACTAAGCCAGCGTTTTCCTCAGGAAGCAATTGCAAACTTGCTTTAGGGTTTGACTCATAGTGCCTTGCTGAGACCTTTGGTTTCATGTTACAGAGAAGGAAGAAACACACTTGGCTTAAAGCTGTCATAGACAGATGTTAGCAATTGTCCACCATGGCCACAGGAAGAATGCAAAAATGTCCCTATGAAACTTCTTGTTTCAGGCAGTTTATCCTTGAAGGCTGAGTCTGCTATAAAATATCTGACTGGGTTTATGGGATTATTGATATCAATCACTTAAATATAGGATGATGAGTAGCAAATGGAACTGTTTTTGTTCTCTGATTTTTTTTTTTCAGCCCTTTCTCGTGACAGTGAATTGAAGGGACTGTTTTTAGAGTCATAGTGAGAAGGTTCTGGACAGGTGTATGAAAGATACTTTTCTCTTCCACATGTTTTGAGGCAGGAGTGCAATTCCCATATGAAGTATTCAGACAGAAAGGACAAAATACTTCCTTTTCCCCACAGAACTTGAGAGTCTACGTTGAAGAAGAGAATCTTATTTAATATTGTAAATATTATGCTTATAATCAGTAGCCACCATCATTCTTAATGACAAAATAATGACAATCTAATTAAAATCAAGTGCACATAGCTTCATTGCCATCCTTTTTAGTAGCACTATTTTTATTTTAGAAGTTCTGAACAAGACAATAAGACTTAAAACAGAAAGAAGAGGCATGACCTGTTGGAAAGAATGAGGCAGAACAATCATTATTCATAGATGGTGTAATAGCATACTTGTATACTCACAAAACTTGAAGAAAATTAGCTAAAGCATTCCATATAATTAAGAATTTAGCAAAGTGACTGATTGTTACTTTACAAATGAGCAAGCATCAATAGGAAACGGTTATGGGAAAATACATGCATTTCCTTCAGATACTCAGGGAAATAGAGATAATCTTTTTTTTTTTTTAAGTACTGGGATTTGAACTCAGTGCTTCACACTTGCTAGGCAGGTGCTCTACCACTTGAGCCGTTCTTTAGTTCTTTTTGTGTTGGATATTTTCGAGATAGGTTCTCCTGTGCTATTTGCCCAGGACTGGCTTTGAACCTCCATCCTCCTTATCTTTGCATCCAAAGTAGCTAGGATTACAGGTGTGAGCCACTGGCGCCTGGCTAGGGATAATCTTAATGAGAAATATGTAGTACATTTCTTTCCTTGGCGAAGGCAACTACGACAACAGTACTGAAAAGCTAAAAGGAGATTTGAATAAGTAGAGAAATAGTCTATGTTTTGTATGGGAGAGTAGAACATTAGGAGAATGTCACCTTTACCAAATTTGATTTAAATATGGGTGTAATTTTAATTGAAATCCCAGTTGAATTGAAATATTGAATAATATTCAATAATAAAATATTCAATAATATTCAAATAATATTATTTGAATATTTTGGATATTAAAAATTCAATAGTAGAATATTCCATAACTGGTTTAATTTAGAAAAATGGATGAAGATAAAATACCAAAGTAACATTTAAGGACTGTTTTGAGGAAAGACAGCTGGCCTCAGTTGTTAAGCAAGATGAAGACAGGCTGCTGGGCTAGTGGACAATACAGTGTCCCAGCACAGACTTCGGGTGTGTGAGAAGGAGCCCTCCAATGTGTGCAGTTACAGGACAATATCCAATGGGAACTGGTACAGGTGACTAGTGTTTTTTTTTTGAGAAAAAAATTTATCCTTATATCATATGCCAGTAACATCTAACTGGATTAAAGGGTTGATGTAAAACAAAGTAAAATCCTGGAACAAAATACATGTGTTCACTTATTCAGCATAGGGCTTGCTCTGTGCCAGTTTTGTGCTCAGATTCGTGAATTTTGTGAGCCTGTGTCAACAGGGCGCAGATGTGGCTTTGCAGGAGAGACGCAGTGCCCAGGGGTCTACTTTCCCAGGCACTAGGGTGGCTCATGGAGGCTGAGAGTTGATGTGCATTCTGAGACCTGAGGAAAGAGTTGCATAGGTAGGTGAAGCTGGAGGCAGGAAGCTCCAGACAGGGGAGACTGAGGCCTGGATGCTCTGAAGTCAGCGACCATGCTGAATGGCTTGAAGGATACCAAGTATCCCTGACACCAGGGACAGAGAGCAGGGCTTTAGCTCCTGAGTAGCTCAGGGACTTAGTACAGAGAAGTGGGCTGCAGTGTTTAAAGTGTGGTTTTGCTGTGGCTGGAACCTGCATCTGGAGACCTAGGGATGTACACTGTGTGTGTGTGTGCGCATGTGCATGTGTGCTGGCATGCTTACACATGTGGAGTGCGACTGGAGCTCATGTCAGAGTTGGTGATGCTCTGGAGTAAGACAGACATACTCAGGAGACATCTGAGGATGGAGAGGAGGATGCATTGAATGTTGGGTGCTGGTGGCCAAGCCTTTTGGGGTGCTCTTGTGAATAGCATGGCAACCCCTCCCACTTTTAGCTCTGATTTACTGATGCATCCCCAGCACCTGTGCACTGTGATTGGCACCTCATTTGTGCTCAGTAAGTGTTCGTTGACTGAGCGAATGGGTGAAGGATGCCTTGCAGATTTCTTTGACTGTTTTGTAACATTGGAGCACTGGAAAGGAGTGGATGTGGAGGAGGAGTATCAGGGCAGTGGGCCCAATGCAAAGGTGTTTCAGGAAGCAGAAAGGAATCCAATGCAAACATTGATGAGAGAGATAACAATAATGTGGACTTGATCTTCAATCTGTAAGGAATATGTGAAAATTAGTAAGAAAACACCACTCAAACCAGTACATAAATGGCAGGGTAAAATGAATGGACAATTCACAAAGATACAAATAGTATATATGTACTTTGAAGAATATTCAGCTTTACAATGAGCATGACCATTTTCCTTATGAAGTGAGCAGTCGTAAGCAACAAGTGGCAAACCACCGGGACTTTGACTTTGTGCAGTCTTCAGAGGAATTGAGCAGAGTGGATCAGGCACTTTAATTTTTGAGACAGGCCTGGCATGGAACTTGAGATCTTGCTACCTCAGCCTCTCTGGGGCACAGCTGAAAGACTGGCTGGAGGGGCAGGACTGGGAGGGGCAGTATTTGGGGGACATCTTGGACTGGGAAGTCCATGTTAATGTGTGCTTTTTCCTTTGTGCTTTTAGATGAAGACAGTCAGTGTGGCCTTGGTTCTGTGCCTGAATGTTGGCGTGGACCCTCCAGATGTGGTGAAGACCACGCCCTGTGCGCGCTTGGAATGCTGGATTGGTAAGTACCAGTCCCTCCTGCAAGCTACCTGCTGTTGTAAATTGGAGAATTCTTTTTGAGTTATATAACCTTTAAGTCATTAAAGATGCATTTACCTTTATTTTGTAGGGAAGAAAATATTTTAAGGAAAATTAACAAAACAATGTCTTGGGTTTTATAGTTTTTTCCCTTTAAATTTGCCTTATATATGCCACATAATGGTAGCTGTGTACACTTTGACAAATTGAGTGAGTGGTTCCCACATACAGATATGTTTATAGAAAAGGTGAATTGAGCCACTTCCAGCAAACTGTCATATGATACATAATAGATCATGGTAACCAATATGTATTGAGTGCTTAAAGTGCTGTAAGCAATGCTTTAAATTTATTGACTCACTTGATCTCCATTGTAACCCTGGGTGGTGAGTTCTCCATTTGAGAGCTGAGGAACATAGGCATAGAGATGAGGAATTTGCCTTAAGTTTTCCTGTGAATGAGTGGCAGAGCTATGCAAAATCCAGAGACTGTTCATCCTCCCTCCCCTCCAAGCCCCTGGAGGGTCTTGGTTTGTAGCTTAGGCTGGCCCTGAATTCCTGATCCTCCTGCCTCTGGAGGGCTGGGATCATAAGTGTGTACCACAACATCCAGTTTCACACATCATAGAACACCTTTCTAGCTGTTTTTAGTTTTCAGTCCATGGCAATAGGTGTACTCACATTATTGTGCAGCCGTCACCACCATCTGTCTCTAGAACTTTCCCACCATCCTACCTACCTGTAGCTCTTCCCACTACACAGCTCCCTACTCCTTTCCCAGCTCCTAGTAACCCCCATCCCACTCCCTGTGACCTTGTATAAATGTTATCATAGAGTATCTGCCCCTGTATTCTGGCTTATTTCACTTCACATAGTGATCGAAAGGTTCAGCCTTGATGGTATGCTGTGGCATGTGCCAGAATTTCCTTCCTTTTTAAGGCTGAATAATACTCCATTGTATGTGTGGATCACATTTTTGTTTATCTGTTCATCCATCAAAAGACACTTGAGTTGTCTCCATCTTTTGGCTGCTAAGTGGTGAACAGTGCTGCTGTGCCATATGGGTGTGCAAGTATCTGTTCCAGTCCCTGCTTTCAGTTCTCTTGGATACACACCCAGAAGTGGAACTGCTGCCCTCATGTAGTGATTCTTGTTTTAATTGAGTAACTGCTAGACTGTTCTGCACCATTTTACATCCCTTCTAGCAGCATACAAGGGTTCCAAGCTCTCCACATCTTTGCCAGTATTTACTGTTTTGGGTGGTTTGACAGTAGCCATCCTAATAGGTATGAGGTGGAATCTCATTTGCCAGGTGATTGGTCATGTCAAGTGTTGTCTTATGGATCATTGTCCATTGTGTGTCTTCTATGGAGAAATATCCAGTCAAGTCCCTAGCCCATTTTTGAATTGGGTTGTTTGCTTATTTTGTTGTTGAAGGTATATATATTCTGGATATTAGTCTCTTATCAGATGGTAATTTGCAAATATTTTCTTTCATCTGTGTTCTTAAACATTATACTGTATCTATCTTTTCCCTTTAACATCAGGTTTATTGGGATATAACCTTTTGGTTATTGTACTAGACAGCTTTATATCATTGTGACAAAATACCTGATGTAAACAACTTAAAGCAGGAACAATTTGTTTTGGCTCATAGTTTCAGAGATTTCAGTCCATAGTTACTTTGGGCTTGAAGCAAGAAAGAAGCATCATGGTAGCAGGTGCATGTGACAGAAGTTGCTCGTCTCATGGTGTCCAGAAACCACAGAGATAGGCAGGAAGGGGACAGGGCAAGATGTGTCCTCAAAGACTCAGAGACACTCCCCCCCCCACCCCCCACCTTCTTCCTCCAACCAGGCCCCACCTCTGAATAGCCCATTCATTCTGAACGTATCAATGGATTGATCCACTGATGGAGTTAGTGCCTTCATGGTCCAGTTACCCCTTAATGATTGGGTCACCAGTTGGGGACCAGGCCTTCAGCACAACAAGCCTTTTGGGGGATACTTCATACTCAAACTGTAATAGTGTAACACACATCTTTGAGCTTTGGCAAAGCATAGATTGTGTGACTACAATCAATATATAGAAAATTTCCCCCACACTAAGAAAGTGAAGGCCTTGAGGCTATGCAGGTTGTGAAGTAGCTTGGCCAGTGAGGTGACAGGCTTGGTGATGGTTCCTTATGCTTTTACACTGTTGAGCAGCTCATGGATAGGGAGGTACCACAAGGAAGCCTCCTTCGTTGTGACTGGGCAGGCAAGTGACTTGCAAATATGTTGCCATTTAGAAGGCTGAAACCAGTTTTATATTGGTGTTAGCATTTTGTGCTGTCACTAGAAATCCCAGAATTTTACACTCATCAAGACCCCAGCTTTATTCATCCCAGCCATGCTACACTTGCTTAACTTAAGCTACGTAGTTTGCTTATCTGTAGGGCAGAGCTAATTGTGACACCTACCTCACGACTAGAGGGGATTGATGGGGACCTCAGACTCAGCTCTGCAGAGACTGGCCCACCATGTGGGCTTTCTCATCATTCTAGTCCCAGTGCCTTCACTCCCCAACTGTCTTAGTCTGTTTGTCCTGCTATAACAGAATACTTGAGACTGGGTAATTAATAAATAGTAGAATTGTATTACTCATTGTTCTGCAGACTGAGAAGCCAAGACCAAGGCATTGGTAGGTTTCTTATCTGGTGAGGACCTGGTTTCTGCTTCTAAGATGGTGCCTTGAACCCTGTGTCCTCACATAGTGGAAGAGGCATTGGGACAAAAGTGCCTAGCTACTTCCCTCTAGCCCTTTTATAAGGTCACTAATATTCATGGGGATTCTGTTCTCATGACTTAATTACTTCCTAAAGGCTATAGGTTCTACCTCTTAACGCTGTTTTAAATTCCAACATATAAATTTTTGGGACACATTGAGACCATAGGACCAACCCCACCACCTGCAACACCCTCCCCACGGCACACTGGGGTGCTGAGTGGGGAGTGGAAGTGGCTTCTCAAGTCTTGCCTGTTTTGCTCACCTGTGTGGCTGAAGGAGAGGCATAGGCAGCTCTCTTCGTTTTAGCCCTGTCAATAAGCTGCTGATGTCTCTAGCAGATGTCTGATAGCAGAATGCATGATGTTTCTTATTTTATTTAGCACGTTAAACATTCAGTATGTCAGGTAGCCCTCTGAGCATGTCCCTTGTGCCCTACTGGATGCCTTAAATATGGCCACAGGCTTGTGGGACAGGGAGACTTTTCGATTTGTACTGGTTTGAAACAGCTTAGCTCTCAGAGAGGAGGGTGTTGGAAGTGTGAAAAGACGTGGATCCATACTTCCCTGAGCACTTTGTGCGTAGAGTACTCTTTGTAGAGGCTACTTCGAGAGCTCGTCAGTGTCTGTGAAGGGAGATTCAGCCCTGTGCTAAGGACTACATGGCTTCACTGATGCATGGCAGTTCCTCCTTGCCTTGATTGGCCCAGGCATTAGCATGTGGGCTGTGAGTGTCTCAGAGTGAGGAGTGGGCGGCTGGGTCCTGAGGAGCAGAGACATGGGCATTGTACACTCTCCAGCAGCCATCACACTCTTCCCCATCCCTGTTCCTCATTCCTCCAGCTGTTTAAACATGCTGCTCTACTTCCTGGAAATGACTCGTCTCTTTTCAAAAAAGCAGGGGAGAGGCTGTTAGCTTTATGGCCTGACATTAAATGCTACAACAGTAATACTGAAAACAATTTCACCAAACAGCCATGCATCCCCCGTACTTGTTGGAATACTGTATTTGAAAGCAGAGTGGAGAAGAGCTGAATGCTGAACAGGAGGAAGTATAATTCAGCTGAAATATCTTTTATGTGCTAACCAGTGGTAGCTATATATCAGAAGAGGTAAGAGTGCTAAGGGCTTGTCAGATGGATGGCAATACTTTTATCCCAAGGAACTTATTTGGGATACATTTTGAAGAGCCCCTATGCAGATGGACTGAGATAGTGACACTGCCTTTGCATAGCTCTGGTGACTACAGAGCACTGTACATGCTTTGCCATTGGTTCTTGAAGCAAACCTGGTCATCGTGCTGGTCAGCAGATCAGTCAGGTTGGTGAACAAATGCTTATGTGGAAATAGTGCTTTAACAAAAGAACTGTGAGCAGTGTTCCTTACCTCCTAGTGCTTAGGGCACAGCTGTGAAGGTCAGACCCACACCAGTGGATCAGAGCCAGAAAGAGATTAGCTTGAGTGGCCTGGGCTCAGACAGTGCTACGGGTGGAGTACCAGATGGGCTGGAGGTGAGAACACAGTGTGAGCTGGAGTGTGAGTCCTCCCTTGAGGGGCTGGGTATGGAGTGCCAGTTGGGCCCCCGGGCACTGGGGCCAGTACTAGCCATGGGCAGTGCTTGCCTGTGCTCTGTCACATCTGTGGGCCTGCAGTTGGAATTTTTGCTTGTGGGGATTCCTGATTTAAAACCCTGTATTCTTTGTCCCATGGTACTGGTGTCTCAAGCTGGTATCTCTGTTCCCCTCTGTGGGAGGATAGCTGCTAGGAATCTACTCCCTCGTTCCTTTTTATCTGAGTTGTGTGTGAACAACAAGGCCTGTATTTCAGAACAGGGCAACCCTCAAATTTCTTGGAAAAAGAACCAAAAAAAAAAAAAAGAGAGAGAGAGAACAACAACAACAAAAATCTGTTGGAAATCCTTCCAACTCCTGGTTTCTGTATAACAACAGAAAACAGAACATAATTTGTTTTATACACATGTGGAGTGTGAGGCTTAGTAGGTAGGACAGGGCCAGATAGCAGAGGATGGCTCCTGTAGAATTTCATCTCCTACTCTGAGACCCCAGATCTCTAATGCTACAGGTCCTGCCCCTAGCCAGAGCAGTCCTGCCCAGTTCCACGCAGCCATGTGACCCTTTAGCTCAGTGAGGAGACAGGCCCTCGCTGTGTACACTGCTAATTATAAAATGCAGAGATGATTTTATGATCAATAAAATACA